GGAAAGCAAAGGCAAACTTTCAACCTTGCCGTATCTTCAAGTTGGACTGCCACCCCTAGGGTTTTTTAGGCTTTACATTCCCAGCTGGCTAACTTAGAGCTCCCACCCACCATAAACTTTACACATAGTAATATACATCCGCATTATAAAATCACTAAATCATTCCTTTTTCGTTACACATAAAATAACAAAAAGAGTGTGAGCCATCTAGTTAACCTAATGGTTAATCTAAAGATCTTTAGATTCGGAGAGCCAAAATTTAAAACTTAATAGCAAATGACTTTATGATTTTTTTTTTTCTAAGTGTTAGAAGGGTTGTAAAAGAGGTGGGAGCCAAGGCCACCTGCCACCTAGGGGTGGGCATGGTACGGTACGGTATTGAGCTCATACCGCTACCGATACTGTAAATTAAAATCGGTATGGTACAGTATGAAATTATCGTTTGTCAAGGTTGGTACCGTACCATACCGTGCCAAATTGGTATCGGTACCATTTCGGTACCAAAATGAAACAATTAAAAAATGAACCAATTCAATATTCAACATATTCATTCACCAAAATAAGTGGCATGCTTGGTTTATTTTTACATAAAGATTCTTGTTCTTATCTATAAAATTTGTCACAATACTCCTAATTTAAGACCAATGTCGCTTGAGCAGTTCATGAAATACACAAACCATAAAAGATGATGTTGTTCATAAAACAGACATCTTATAATCAATTGCATAATTATAGAACCACAAAATAGACAAACCATAAAACAAACATCTTATAACCAATTGCCAATTTTTTTTTTCTTTCTGAATCTCCCCCACCAGCCAATACACAATTACTAGCATTTTAGTTCTCAGTAAAAATACATGACCACAAAACAGACAAACCATAATTATAGAACCACAAAACCATAATTTGGTGGGGTACGGTATTGACGGATACCAAATATTTGATACCGCTACCATACTATACTCTATTGGTACGATACAGTACAGTACCGAATATCCCCCAATTCCAAATGAAACGGTATGAAATCGATATAGTATAGTATGGTTAGTGTACGGTTTCGGTATTTCGGTTTAGATGTCCACCCCTACTGCCACTTGACTCTAGTTATGCTCGTGCTAGTGGTATTTCTTTGCTCTTTAAGTTCGAAATCCCTGTATACTATCAATGTATAATTCATAAAAATTAAGCTATAATTACTATTAATATTTCCAAAAATGAATATTTTAGATCTCTCAACTATAATTACCATATTAAATTTTGGTGATAATACTTTAAAATTAGAAAATTATTGTGCCGTTGAAGGCATAAATTTCCAAATAAGTAAGTGTTGAAAAAAGGTATATACATGAGTGAGAGAGACTTTCCCTGTTCCTTGTGATAAGTGATTGACTGATAAATAGTCAGCCAACCAAACCAAGCCGAGCTGACAAGGAGCCGCCGTCGGCAGGCTGAGTTGGCGTTGGCGCTGAGCGTGAGCGTGTTTGTTTCTTTAATTTCCATGATTTGGTTGTGTTGATTGCACATGAAAGAAGCAAGAAAACGAAGACCGAAAGAGAGATGGATGTAGAGCTGTCGTTTCTGAGCAGTTTTTGTACCGAAATTTGCCGTCGTGTCATGGGTTTGGCTCATTCTCATTTCTCTGCCCCATTCCCCCAAACCCAAAACCAACCTTTCGTTTCTTCTCTATATAATATAACCCATAAGCCTCTCTCTCTCTCTATAGTATTTGCGTGCCATGGGGCATGTCGCTAAGATCTCTCACTGATCACGACGAGATAACGAATCATAACTCGTGATGATCTGATCACTACGAGCTTTTGAGCCATTTATATCTATATATATTTATAGATAAAGGAGGGATCTGCATAACTAAATGCCACTTGTCTCCACGACCTGAGAATCTCTCTCTGATTAATGTTGCTCGCCAATTATTGAGGTTAGGCCTTTTCTCTCTTCTGGGTTTTTGTTCTTCTTCTTCAATTTTGTGTAAAGTCGTGGAATTGAGCTGCGAATTCATGAATTGGGTATTAGGAAGTGAATTTGGGAGCTTCTTGTTGGGAAAAACCTTGCTTTCTTAGCTTAGCTTCGTTCAATTTTGAGTTTGAAGGCAAGAAACAGATAGAGTGTAAAAGGTGGAGAGTTTTTGGTGTGAATGGGATTTGAGAATTGCTGGGTCGACAAGGAAAAGAAAAAAAATAAGGTTTAGGAGTGGACAGAGTGGGGTTTTAAGAAGAAAAAGAGAAAAGCCTAAAGGGGAAGTGAAATTTTTGTATAACTATAAAAAAGTAGGAAAAAGGCGACAAGAATAACTCAAACAGGGAAGAGGGTGACCGGAAAAGATCCAAGCCCAGAAGTGGTAAGGGCAAGTAAGGATTGATTCGATTCTAAAGCCTCCTTCTTCACACACGCATATACACCAAGACGTATTGTCTTCTAGTTTTGTATTATTTTCATCTAGTGCATGTCATGCACTTCAACTTTTGTCACTTGTTTATGTTCCTTGTCAAAATTGTTGTTCCAACCAGCTTCACCAGTAAGTTAATATGGTAATTCATGTTGTTTTTATTATATTTCATTGCCTGAAGGTCACTTAGAAGCATTTGTGGTTTTAAGTTATACTGGTTATTGATTCATTTAGACCATTTTATGGTGATTTGCAGAAGAAAAAAAATGGCAACTTTAGTTGAGCCTCCAGATGGAATTAGGCAACGGGGGAAGCATTATTACTCAATGTGGCAAACATTGTTTGAGGTTGACACCAAGTACGTTCCGATCAAACCCATAGGGCGAGGAGCATATGGCATAGTGTGCTCGTCCATCAATAGGGTAACAAATGAGAAAGTTGCAATCAAGAAGATCAATAATGTGTTTGAGAACCGAATCGATGCATTGAGGACTCTGAGGGAGTTGAAGCTTCTTAGGCATATCCGGCATGAAAATGTGATTGCTTTGAAGGATGTTATGATGCCTATCCACAGGACAAGTTTCAAGGATGTGTATTTTGTTTATGAGCTCATGGATACAGATCTTCATCAAATTATAAAGTCCTCTCAACCACTTTCCAGTGACCATTGCAAATACTTTCTATTTCAGGTATTAGCTTTCTCTCAACTAGTGTTATTTTACCTCATTAATTCTTTCAAGTAGGCATTCTAATTGGTTGATGCTAATTTTGTGCCAACTTAATTCGTGCATGCAAATGATTTTGGGAATAGGAGTGGGAATGAATAGAACGCATATTACCAATGAGACATTGCAGCTTCTTGCATTTTCTTATGTAGAAATTAACCTCTTGGGGTTCTGTGCATTTCAAAGCTTGAAAAAATGTGATTAGAGACCAAGCTCCAGTTAATTTTTTAGATCTATCTCTTCTAGTAGTTGTTCTGCTTGTGACTAATTTTGACTTTGCATTGTAGTTGCTTCGAGGGCTCAAGTATCTTCACTCAGCAAACATCCTTCACCGGGACTTGAAGCCTGGAAACCTGCTCATCAATGCTAACTGTGACTTAAAAATATGTGATTTTGGGTTGGCCCGAACCAGTGGAGGTACTGGCCAATTCATGACAGAGTATGTTGTCACTCGCTGGTATCGTGCACCAGAGCTGCTATTGTGCTGCGACAATTATGGAACATCCATTGACGTCTGGTCCGTAGGATGCATCTTTGCTGAGATTCTTGGTCGGAAACCAATCTTCCCTGGAACTGAATGCCTCAACCAACTAAAACTAATTATCAATGTTCTTGGTAGCCAGCATGAACCTGATCTTGCATTCATTGACAATCCGAAAGCCAGGAAGTACATCAAATCGCTGCCCTATTCTAGGGGAACACATTTTTCCCGTCTATACCCCCAAGCTGATCCGTTAGCTATAGACTTGTTGCAAAGGATGCTTGTGTTTGATCCAACTAAGAGAATCTCTGTCACAGAAGCACTCCAACACCCTTACATGTCAGGGTTATATGATCCAAGATGCAATCCTCCTGCCCAGGTTCCGATCAACCTCGACATAGATGAGAATTTAGCGGAACCAATGATTAGGGAGATGATGTGGCATGAGATGCTTCACTACCACCCAGAAGCTGCTTTTGTGAATGCCTAGGTAATTTTCAAAAGGCTTTCCAGTTTCCTCAACAATGCTTCTTCGTGCAATTGGTTTATAATAGAAAACCATGCAATAGAGAAATGTGGTGTTAGTCATAATGATCTTAACAAGATTTTGTATTATCTTGTTTGGTAGCTTGAGGTCTCTGAATGGGACATACTGTCTTGTAACTCTGTATATAATTGTGCTTTGTTATTTGAAGTGTACGACTATGGTTCTGTATTATCGATAATGCATGTAAGATATTTCCTAAGAAAAACCAAGGGAATTGAATAAAGATGCGTCTATTTTTATTATTGTTATTTTCTTCTCTCTTTTTTTCTTTTCTTGATTTTCTCTACTCAATCTTAATAGGTAGATGCATGGGGGTCGCTTACTCAAGCATATTGTATATGTTGAAACGTTTGCTGGTCTGGTTTACCTGAAAGGAAGTTATACCAATCTTTCCTGAGTACTTTCACTTTATGATTTGGGCCATATGCTTAATAGTTCAATGCCCATCCGAAGTAAGAAGGCCTATCCTAGGGCCAGCCCAAATGGTTAAAGAGTCATTATATGGTGAGGGCCTTAAGACCCTTAAACAAGGCCGTATCTCTTTATTATTAGATCAGATTAACTAATTTAATCTAACGGTTAACCAATTTGATCCAACAAAAAAAGAGATTATTATCAAAGCTCCTACATGGAACGGAATGGAATGCTGCTTTTTAAGAAAGCACCCACCCTATATCCTACTCTAAAAAAGCATGTCACTTGCAAAAGTACTATAAAGAAAACAGAGCACACAATTTGGGACCCAAGACCCGATATGCGCCCAACTTTTCTTGACCCCCAAAACCCACTAACAGCCCACCACTGCCCACTGCTCTTGCCTGGTTTCCTTTTGCCTTCCTTCCCTTCTTTTCGAATAACTGGGTCCAAGCCTCCAGGGCAACTTGCAAGACCATGTGCTTTTTTAAGGCACAGAAAAAAGTTGCTTCAGATTTCATTGGTTGCTTGTGTTCACTGTTCAATATGAAAAGTACGCTTGAAAAAGAACCAGCTGTGCCTGTGGCTGGCATTTTTAAATGAAAGATTGCCTAAATCAAAGCACATGGGATATAAAGAGGGAAATTACTCACCACAATTCAATGGGTATTTTCATCATCTTTCTCATCACTTGACATGTGTTCATTGATATAACCATAGTAAACTCTTCGTTTTGTATTTACAGAACTATGATTATGTCCATAAACACATGTCAACTGTTGAGAATGATGATGATGGTACACTTTGAGTTAAAGTGATGAGCAAAAATGCATCAAAAAATATCCAATAAATCAATTCATAAAACAAATTGGTTGCTTAAATTTATATAAAGTCTAGAAAATGCATACAATTCAAACCAACGTTTTTGACCAATCCCACTCCCTTTTTTGTCTAATTGAAAATTGCAAGTTGTTGCTAAATTGTGATTGGAGTTGCAAGATTTCTCATGTTTATAGGGGGCAAATCAGAGTTGCTAACCACCTTGCTAATTTGGGGTATGAATTATTTTTAGGGCTTCATAATTTTGAGTCAGCTCTTGAGAGGGCTGTGATCTGTTAGTTTTTTCTTCTTGTTTCGTCTTGGCTTCGGACTCCTTCTAACCGCAAAAAAAAAAAAAAAAAAAAAAAAAAAAAAGGAAAAAAAACATGAGAAATTATTTTGAATCTCAAAGCAGCAAAGGTTCAATTTGCTTCTTCTTTTTTTCTTTTTTTTTTTCTTTTTTTTTTCTGCTTGTGTCTTTTTAAAACACATAGCTGCAACTGCTTGCCAATGGGCACTAGTGTAGACTAGGAGAAACACTTGTGTAACGGGGATAACATTGTTTTGCTATCTCCGACCAATCACACTATATTACGCATGATAACTTTTTCATTTGGCATAGCGCGATTGATCAAAAATAGCAAAATAATGTTATCCCCATTTCATATAAATTTTTCTGGTAGACTATAGGATGGACCTGTCCTTTAAGCTGTAACCCTTCATTATTGATCAATATTTAGGGACCAGCTTTCAGAATTCTGACCCATACATGTGCCCTTTACTGCAGCAAGCTTATGCTTCTGGGATCTTTTTTTACCCTTCAAAAGAAAATGCCACATAATAAAACTTTTACTGTCATAACAATAGTTTCTCAAGATGAGATGAAATAGTGCTCCTTTTGAGCAGTTTCACTTACAAATTTACCTCAAAAAGTACATCTCCCTTATTTTTCATGCTCAGTTTACCTCACAAAATCAGAGGAAAGACTGACACATTGATTTTGAAGTATACATACCATATCAGTCAGGCTGCAACTTGGGGGCAGAAAATAGCAAAGTCTTGCTATTCTCAGTCAATCAGATTATGTTAAGTGGAAAAATTATGAAGCGTGACATAGTGTGATTAATCAGACATAACAAAATAGTGTTATCTCCGTTACACACAAGTGTTTCTCATTACCTTTTCCTTATAATTTTATATTGAGACAATGAGACATGTTCTTAAATATTCCTAATAGTTTATGTCTATATGGTGGGCGTTTCTGGTCTATATATTCAACCCTCCACCACTCTTCAAAACCTCCTCTTCCTTATCTTTTCTTCCTACCCTAAAATTTGGTCTAATCTCTATCCCTGTCCCTCTGCTTCTCTCTGTTTTCCTCTCATAGCTATCTCCCTGGTTCTGAAAACCTGTGTCTGCTTTAAAGTTCATAGCTTTGGGCACTTCTTTTTCTCCTTAAATGCTTAACATGCATAGATATAGATACAGTTCTTGATGTTTGAGCTAAATTGATGTCTCCTGTACTTAGTGAAATCCTGCTCTCTGGGTTTATGGTAAATTCCACTCTCAGGCGTAGAACCCACCTAGTTCAATCCTTCTCTGTCTGCTTCCTCTACTGGTTCTATGTGTTTTCATGAACACCATCTCTTCATAAAATAGCTCTGCATCACAACTTATAAGTAATTATATTGCTTATTTGAGGTTTTTTCATTTTGTTTTCAAAATTAGCATCTGGGTTGTTCAAATAATCATTCTAGTTTTATTAGGTAAAAGAAAAGATTGGTTTTTGATTCTGCTAAGCATATTTTCCACATGGGTTCTTCTAGTGGGGTTTCTTCAGGGTCAAGCATGCTTCAGAACTCAGGCTCTGATGAAGATCTTCATCAGGTCATGGACCAAAGAAAGCGCAAAAGAATGCTATCCAATCGGGAATCGGCACGTAGATCTAGGATGCGCAAACAGGAACATCTGACCGATCTGACGGCGCAAATTGGTCTTCTGAAGAAGGAGAACCACCAAATCATCACAAGCATGAATGTGACCAACCAACTCTACATGAACCTTGAGGCAGAGAACTCTGTTCTCAGAGCTCAGATGGATGAGCTCAGCAACAGACTGCAGTCTCTCAATGATATCATAGACTGCATTAACTCAAGCAAATGGCTTTTAGAGGCTGAAGAAGAAGACACTCAGATTATTGGTGGTGATGGATTTCTTAATCCATGGAGCACTCTCTGTTTGAACCAACCAATTATGGCTTCTGCTGACATGTTTATGTGTTAATAATCTTAATTTGTTCAAATCATGGGTTAAGTGAGCTTTTCTGGTGGTGTTTTTGAGAAATTAGTGGGTTCAAGATGTAAGTTAGAAGCCCATGTCATGTGTAAATTTGTTATTATAATGATGGATGGGTCATGGGTTTCAACTGTTCAACATGTAGGCATTGTGTAAGCAATCAATCTTTCTGGTTGCCAATTACTTGATTTAATAAAATACTATTTTGTTTGAATATGAATAGTTTCCCTTTCTTCTCCAGCTGCATTATGCTCATTTCCAGTCTAAAATGGGTTCTCTGCTGGCCCATTGTTTATTGCTTTTGTTTTGTTTGTATTTCATGGTTGGATTGGATCATATGGTTAGACAAATTTAGTGGACTCTGAAAGTTTGATATTTTTATTTAAACTTTGCTTGGGTGCTTTGTTGGTGGGATGATGCTTTCTTCTAAGCAATGTTGGGAAGCATAATGAACATTACTTAATTATAAGATCATAGTCATCAGACCATTATTAATATAAAACCTCTTCTCATTTTTATACGCAGGACCAAATACTAATAACTCATCTATTGTCCTACCTGTTATGACTTTTCTTTCACACACAATACCAAAGTATTATGCGGTTCAAACTTAATCACTAGTCTGCAAATCAATGCACTTTTCCACTAGGCTTAGACCCGGTTGGCAAAACTGACGTTGTTTGAAGACAAATCCTGTGACGTTTTGGAGTTTATCAAGCAGGAATATTATGTCCTGTCATTTTTTTTGTTTTATCAGGAAAAGAGAAGAAGAAAAAGAGGCTCATGAATTGAAGTCAGAAAAGAGGTGCTCATTTAGTTCTGTTGGCAATCCAACAGAGTGCCCATTGTGCCACTGAGTGATAAGATCACATTGATCAATAAATTTTTCAAAGCAATGAAGAATATAAATTAAGGCTTTGAGCCCCACTTACTAGTATACTATGAACATAGACTACAATACCTTTGAATAACAAAAACGCACGTTTTTTTTTATAAATCTAGTTCTTAATGGGGAAAATGATTTCAATGCAAAAGATTAAAAATATATCGTTAAGGCGTAGACCTAATAGAGGTGATTAATTAAGTGTCAAACCATGCTATTACGTATGTGTTGTTGGGCATGGCACTTGCTCACCCACTAATTCAATTGAAAAAGAAAGGCTAATTAAGCATATGATAAGTTTCAATGTCCATGGAAGGTGATGAAAGCATGTGGCCAACCAATTATGACAGAATTGCTCACATGGGATAGAAATTTAACTATAATTTGTGAAAGCTAGAGTGCATGTTTTTTCTTTTATTTTTAGAAAATAAAAAAGGTAGGCTTTGATCAGAGAAATAAAAAGCCATCTTTCCTTGGAAAAGGAATTGCAATTATTGGCTTGACATGCCTTGTTTTTTCAGTCTTTCTTCTTTTTAATATAACCTTGGAAACTTAACCTACATTTGCCACAGAGAAGTTTGAACAGCATGTCATATTTTAGGTTAATAGATTTCCTTTCTTAGTTGAGACAACAATTACCGTACCTAGTAAGGCAATTTGCCATTTCACTTTGCAAAATGCTTCAAGAGCATCTCTAATTACATTGTAATTCCTACTACAACACTAGTGGGAAGATTGGACTAGTTTGGATTGAATAATTTGAGTATTTACGGTATCGAAATGTTAGCTGGACCAGAGCTTAAGATTATATGACTTTCATGTTGAACAAGAGAATAACTGTTCTTTTCCACTCAGTCATCAAGCATATCGCATCCCTTAACACAACATTAAATTTAATACTGGAAACAAAACTACCTCTGCTTACACACGAGTAGAGGTACTTCCAAGGCTGTGAAGGGTATCCAAGTCATAAAGATTTCAAAACTGCAAGACCTCTACAGGTAGGCACTTGTTTGTTCCCTAGAAAATGGAAAAGCTCTCAGGTTTAAAGAGCAAAAAGAAAAAATAAACGAAAAAACAATTCCTCATTCATCTTCTAATTTAACCAGGTCAAGACCCAGGTGGGGTTCTGCTCTTCTTGATGTAACTCCCAAATCTTTGGGCAACTGCAGCATCGTATGATGTATCCCATACCTGAAAATTCAGCCATATTGAATTAGCAATCATCATCCACCATAGAAAAGCCTTTCAAATATCCAAAAATCCACCCATAAACAAGATACAGAAAGATGGCTCACTTCCAGAGTCCCTTTTGAGCCTCCTATGGCAAGCAAAAACGGGTTATCTTCCGAGAACGAAACAGAAAACACAGCTCCCTGACAACATTCAGAAGAGAGTCCGACAATCAATCTCATTGAAAATAAAAAAATAAGAAAAAGAAGAATAACTCATTACATTAGCATATAAATCATATGTCACTTACAGCTTTAGGGTTCCTGGATGAAATGCATGAGGGTTGGTTGTTTGACACATCCCAAAGCTTTACCTGCAACAAATAATAGTGGAACAATATTAGGATATCCAAATCTGGTTGGTATACAGACTCAGCAGGTAATGGGAAGAACATAATACCATTTTGTCCGTGGATCCAGTTGCAAGAAGCTGAAAAGAAAAGCACAAATGTGAGATTACACATAAATCAACAACATAAAAAGTACCCAAAAGTGAAGAGAAAGAGGACTATACATTAGGTGCTGAGGGGTTATAGGAGATTGCACAAACAGCTTTGTCGTGTGCATGAAGAGTAAAACTAGGTTTAGACTCAGAAGTAGAAGAAGATGTGGCAGCCCGAATATCAAAACCTTTGACTGTGCCGTCTTCAAGGCTCACCTAGATGGATTTACAAAATGAATGATGATCAATAAATGATAATTCTTATCTAGCCAGAGAGTAACTGTATCCACATTAAAAGTACATATAATACACACACACACACACAGGTGTTGATACAAGGAATCAACCAAAAAAAAGCAAAGAACTTCGTAATTGAGTATGAAAAATGACTGTCTTAAGAACCAAAGCACACACCACAAATGAATGCTCAGTGTGTGGATCCCATGCTAAGCTTTCTACATCAGCTGTGACTGTCCATTTATAGCCAGAATGTGATGACGCCCTCCCATCTTTCTGGAATGCGTAACAATTATAAATTCACCAGTCAATGAAATTTTCAAATAAGAAAGTTCCTTGACAATGTCTAAAGTTTGTCGGAAAACAAATATATGAAAAGAATGTAACACTCAAGTAAAAATAATATACCAAGACTACTGAATGATCAAAAGAACCACTAAGAAGAACTTGATGGGCAAAATGATTCCATGCAACTGCCTGAACCTGTAAAAATTTGTATGAAGAAGTTAAAATTGAGGTTAAATTGCTAAAATTGCAAGGAAAAGTCAGCTGAAATCCTTAAAATAGAGAGCTAAAGATTGCATTTGTTCTATAGCACACCATCCAAAATATGATTTTGGGATAAAAGATATAAATGCAATTCTGTCTAAATTCTTGCCTTGTCTGTATGATGCTCCATGGTAATAGTACATTTTCCGGTAGCCACATCCCAAATCTTAACTTGTTTGTCAGCACTTGCACTAGCAAGTACATTTCTGTTTATGGGAAAAGACAACATCGAATATAAACCTTCCACTGAAGCAACAAGTAGTACAAAACTATAAAAGAGTTAACAAACCTGTAGAACTTATTCCACGCAAGCCCAAGAACTGAATCTCTGTGACTGCCTTCTTTGTATTTGATTGATGCCTAACACAAAGCAAGATGCAGACTTGGTAAAAGGAAGTGACAAAGAATTGCATGATTATCAAACCCAGGCATCGAAGGAATTAAGCATCAAACCTTCTTTCCTTTCTTTTTCTTCATCTCAGCAATACCGCCCAATACCACACATGGTTGTACTTCATCAATCTGAAAAACAGAAAAAATGTTTAGAAAAAGCAATAATATCTCCATCAATTTCCTACTTAAACCTATCTAACGAGAGTAGAAGGCATAAACTACATACAATGTCAAGATCCCAAATCTCAATGGAAGGTTCATCCATTAAACCAACAGCTATGAAATTCCCTGTCAGCATAAAAAATAAAAAAATTTAACCATCAATTAAATACAAAGGTAAAGCAATGCAGAAACTGAAAACTTATCTACGTTTTAATAAACTTGTAAAAGAACAAGCTGTGGCTGGCATCTTTAATTGAAAGATTGCCTAAATCTAAGCACATGGTATCTAAAAAGAGGAATATCCCATATACACATGAATTTGAGCAAGCAATATGTTAATGGAAATGGAGTAGACCTCAAATATCGATAAAAATCAGAAATGATCCAATAAACCATACAAGGTTCATAAAACAAAATTGGTTACTTAAATTTATGAAGTCTAGAGAATGCATATGATTCAAGTTTAAACACATGAAAAATTACCCTGAATCTCAAATTACTATGAAGTCTAGTGAGAAATTACAATGCATAAGATAATCACCATTTAAATTTGCCAAAAAGAGAGATAATGGGTAACAGAAATTTCGAGATGAAGAATCTAAATTTTAACAAAATTGTAATTGATATCTAGGAAAACAACCAATGAAGATGAACAATAATCAGATTCACCAAATAGAGGATAATGATTAACAGAAATTTAAAAGAAGAAAAAGAAAATATTACATTTTTCTTAAGAGAAGAATAAATTACAATTGTAAATTCAAGCAACTTCAACCAAAATGCATAATATCACATGATTCGCACCTTTGTCTCCACCTTTGAGAGGACAATCAAGCCATGCTGTGCAAAGGGGGAACGATGAAATGATGACGTCATGGTGCACATAAACATTTGATTCACCATCTGCTGATTCGACATACAGCCAAATCTGCTCATACATAATTTAATTATTATCAGTAACAAACCGACAAAGAGAAATGAAACAATAGTTTCAGCTATCTATTACATGCCTCAAGCTGGCTGACATCATCCTCATTGCGGGCGCAGACTATGACTGAATCAGTCGGGTTAATGGTCATGTCATCACTGTCTTCCGACTCCTCATCCTTTGATAAAATAAAAAATTGAAAATGAAAAACCGAATCGCTCTTCTAGCCTCACAAAACAAAAGAACAACAAAAACTGGAACAAAAGCAGTGGCATAATTAAGTTGTAAAACTTACATCATCCTTATCCTTGAGATATGGATCCATATCATTACTAGGGTAGTAAAGGTCTCCAAGCCCACTACTAAACGGGTCAATGCCTGAGGTTAGACATAAGAAGAAGCACTGTTAGCTATATATCTTAATTGCCACTCATGAGAGGAAACATATAGACTATAGTACTAATAAAGCCATTTAAAACTTAAAGCAAATTACTACTCTGTAACTTCAACAATGCTTCAAGTTCAACCTTGTCTAATAGCTTAAACTTTGATCATGTCAACAATGCTTCAAGTTCAACACCTCCAGCTTAAGCAACATTGTGAATAATCCCCCTTATACTCCAAAAATGAATTCAAGAAAATAAAGATAAAATAGAAATACCGTCTTCCTCATCATCATAATGTTCCATGTCAAGTTCCCTCAATCCATCGGTTATATCATCAAATTTGGTCCCTGACTCTGTAACTTTAGAAGCTTTGCCGAGTGCTTTTGCTACCTCTAATGCTTGGGATATTTGATCACCCTTCTTGGGAGTTTCAACATCCATTTCTCCATCACCGTCCTCACTTTCACCATCTTCACTGCACAAAACAACACCCACCACAACCATACAAGTCAGGAAGTCGAAAATCAACACCAAAATGCATGAACCCTCTTTGCCAAACAGCAAACACATGACAAATATACTCCATGAAAAATTCAATCTTTTCCTTTTGCTTCAAGAAAGAAACTACCAACCCCATAAAGAACAAGACCAACAATTTTTTGCAAAAGAAGTGATCGTCTTTAACAAAAAAAAAAAAATCAATGAGTTCAGAGCTTAGCCTCAGAACAATAACAGCTATCAGAACAGACAATGGTCATTCAGCATCAATAAAGCACTCAACGATCACAAAAATTAGAGAACTTCACCTTCTCTCCAAAGCACCGGTTTTGATTAACTCATCGATTTCCTCTTTGGTGGGCGGGTCGGCGACTGAGGGAACTGGCTTTGAAACTCCTCTGGGCACCCAAGAAATTGCTGATATCATTTCCTCTCCTTAGTTTTTTAAAACTTGGTTGAGCTTAATAAATTGCTGTGTTTGACATAGGTGGAGGTTTCAGGAGCTATGAAATTTGGCGGTGGAGCAACGAGGACTGTATTTCTGTTGCCGCTCCTCGATGGTGAAAAATAGGGTTTTAATAAAATTTGTGACCTGTTTGGTTATAGGGATATTCCTAAACCCAATCAGATTAGAGTTTTGCTAACGTTTTCTTCATTTGTTTTGTTTTTTGTGTTTTTTTTTTTTTTTTTAAAGTTTGGGTTTTGTTTTGTTTTTCAACTACTTCTGTTAACTTCTTTATTTTTTTTATTTGCCAAAGTTTACACATGGAGGTTTGAACCCTACACTACTTGGAAACACACCAAAGACTTGGGCCAATCTAACACCCTAAACTTAGGCCAATCTAACACACACTCCATTGATAATGTGTCTTTTTTTTTGTATGAATGTTTTTTTTCACATGTCAATTTGCCCAAATCGTCAAATAACAAATATTTTGATAGAATATTTTTATCCGCTTTATTTTTATATTTTTTAGCTTGTTAGTTTATTGTCTTTTTAGGGTTTGTGTGTCTTATTGAAAATGTTGTAAAAACTATGTGTATTAAACATTAGAAATACGTACGTACATATATAATACGACTATTATACGTTTACTTTTTTGAAAACGTGAGATGTGTATAGAACACGAATGTATTATTGAAAAATACGTATCTACATATATATATGTATATATATGCAAAAGACTATAGCTGTTAGTCTATACTATTTATTAAAGACAATTTTTATATATAAAAAACCAATAAAACCGTTTGGCTATAATATTTTCTAAAACAAATTAGAAAAAAAATCGAGTCTATTTACTAAAAAAACAGAGCAGTTGCACAGCGCCTAAGCGACCATGTGTAAAATGGTATAGCCGAGCGGCTGAACTACTATCTAAAACAAATTTAAAAAATCGAGTATAGCCGCATGGGTATACTATTCACTAAAACAAACAGAACTGCTGCACAGAGCCTAGGCAAATAGTACAGCCGAGCGGCTGTACACTTGCATTCAAAAAATCTTCGTATAGCCGTACGGCTATACAATTTTTTAATATTAAAAAGCAGGACCCCCAAACGCCACGTGTCAAAACAAGTATATTTTTAAAAAATTAAAAACACGGCGTATAGCCGGGCGGCTGTACTATTCTTTTAAAAGAAGACCCTCGATCGATTAGGTGTGAACAATAAGTATAGCCGACAGGCTATACAATTTTTTTAAAATAAAATCGTAGTATAGCCGGAGGCTCCACTATTTAAATACATTATATTTAAGCGGTATAGCCGAATGGCTAGACTATTTAATAAAAATATGAAAAATAAAATAGGACCCTCCTAGTTGCATTAGTTTGTACCTTATAAATATTAATTTGCTAGGTTCAATATATCCAAAGTAGATATTAATCTTCCACTGTATAATATTTTAATATAATTTTTGTAACCTATGTTATTCTTATTCAATAATATGTGAGAATTATTTGTATCATATGTGAATTTTGTGTGTCTTACTGAATTATTTTTAAAAAATACATGTATAAAACATTACAAATATGTACGTACATGTACAATACGATTATTGTATGTTAGCTTTTTAAAAAATTTGAGACGTGTATAGAACACGAATGTATTATTCTAAAATATGTATTTACATATATATATATATGTATTATATATGTAAAAGACTATAGCTGCTAGTCTATACTATTTATTAAAATATTTGGGTACCAAAGCCAAATATCTAAGATTTTTATTAAAATATTTAATACTAATTATTCACTAAATGTGGATGTGTATAGAACATGAATGTATTATTTAAAAATATGTATGTACACATATATATATATATGTGTGTGTATATATATGTAAAAGCTATACTCTTTATTAAAGACAATTTTTTTTGAAAAAACAAAATTACAGCCGCCCGGCTATACTATTAGCTAAAACAAATTTTATAAACGGGTATAGCCGCACGGCTATACGATTCACAAAAAAAAAATGCTGCACAGCCCCGAGGCACCCGCGTGTGAAATAGTAAAGCCGAGCGGCTGTACGGTTTGAAAAAGAATGAGTATAGCCGGTCGGCTATACGATTTTTAATATAAAACAGGAGGACCCCCAGACGCCACGTGTCAAAACAAGTCTACTTTAAAAAAAAAGGAGTTTCACTAAAACACCCAAAATGGGGGTTGAAATTATAAAAAAAAATCCAAACACTATTTGAACATATAAACACACTCAAAACTCATCATTACACACACTCAAAACTCATTTATAAACGCACCCAAAAAGTTGACTTTGTGGTTGATTTTGGGTGTGTTTATATGTTTAAATAGCGATTGGGTTTTTTATATAAATACATGTCTAGGATTGGGTTTATTTATAAATTTGTATTAAAAAAAAAATTAAAACCACAGAGTACAGCCGTTCGGCTATACTATTTAGGAGCCGCCTAGACCGCCTAGCCCGCCCAGGCGGCCGATTTTCTGTTCAAGTCTGGATATTTGGATATGGTTGTGTAGGCTAAAATTAGAGGGAATGGCTCCAATTCTAAGATGATTACATTAACTGGGTCTCTTTTCTTTGACTGAATTCTTAATTATTTATGAGTTTTCTGTCAAATGTTTTTGGTGTTTAGAACTGTAAGTTTTGATATGGAAATGGGTTTTCTGCGCAAGCTTGAATTTGTAGATTTGGTTGTGTTGGCCCCTGTAAGTTTGGTTGAGTTGGTTGTGTTGGCTCTCTGTAAATTTGGTTGAGTTGGTTGTGTTGGTTTAAATTAGAGAGAACTCGTTATAAAAATCTCAAGACTCTCAATTTTTGAGGGAGCATCACTTGTGATGATGATGATAAAGGTTATATTGTATGAGGGATGTGGTTTAGTCTCATAAATCATTAAGGGGAATATTCCTTTTGCTGCTCTTTTCTGCACTAATACTTGTACCTGCAGGTTAGGCTTGAAGTGATGGGAAAGAAGGCAAAGAATGCAACCAACATTTCTGGAAATGAGGCTGGGAAAATTTCCAAAGAGATTTAGAAAGTGGAGAAGAGAAGGATTGTTAAGAGTACTCTTTGCAATGAAAGAAGTTCTCGGAGCCATTGCATGGTAGGATTCCCTTGGACTTTCAAATATATGATAATTCTTCCAGAGGTCTTGTCACTAGTTGGATATAACTTGCTTTCTATTTCTGCACAGATAATCCTTTGAAGTCCGAACAGTAAGAGGACGCTTGATGCTTGTGGACATGGCTGGCTCTGAAAATATTGAGCAAGCTGGCCAAGTTGGATTTGAGGCAAAAATGCAGGTAATGTCTTGGTGGTGCTTAATTTATGCTGATACTGTATGCAGCACTTTCATTGTCATTGTAACAAATGTAAAATTATGGTTATATTGAATTCACAGACTGCAAAGATCAACCAAGGAAACATAGCTCTCAAAAGAGTGGTTGAATCCATTGCCAATGGTGATTCTCATGTGCCTTTCAGAGACAGCAAACTGACCATGCTTCTACAGGTAAGTTTTATTCACACTAATGTCAGTTACTAGGGATTATATGGTGCCCTGCCCTCTAACCTTGTATGTGAATGACAGTTCTCATGTTCTTTTTGTGCAGAATTCTTTCGAAGATGTAAAACAAAAAATTTAGCGGTACTGTGTGCAAGCCCAGACCCAGAGGAAATACACAAGACAATCTCCACCCTTGAATATGGTGCAAAAGCAAAATGTATTGTCCGTGGTCCTCATACAATAATTATTAATCAAGGATAAAATTGGGACTGAAGATTCATCTGCTGCTATTTTAGGATCAAGGATTGCTGCCATGGATGATTTCATCCTTAAACTGCAAAGGGAAAATAAGCTCAAAGAGAAAGAGCGAAATGAAGCACACAGGGAGTTACAGAAGAAAGAAGAGGTTGCTGCACTGAGAGCTAAACTTGAGCTTATGGAAGGGACGAGATCTGGGAAAAAGGAGGAAGAAATCAACTTGAAGGTGACTGACCGTGAGTTGGAAAAGAAGTTGAAGGAATGCCAGCGTATGGCAAATGAGTTTGTTGAATTGGAGATGAGGAGAATGGAAGAAAGGATATTGCAGCAGCAGCAGGAAGCTGAAATGCTGAGGCGGCGGTTGGAGGAAATTGAGCTTGAGCTATGCCGCTCAGGTGATGGAAATGGTAAGGAGAGTGGGACGAAGGACCATGATTGAACCCAGTTTGCCAAAAGGTTGTTAGGGATCTATGCCAGTGATGATGCAGGAGGAATGGTAGAGTCAATGGATTTGGACATGGGTGATCAAGAACCTTTTGCTCGTGAGGTGAAATATGTAGGTGGGGTTGCTTATCAATTTGACAGCAGTATTGTAAATGCTGTAAACATTGATACTTTTGAACCAAAATATGCTGATAGGGTATGCCTAAGCACTGTTTTTGAGGAAGAAGAAATGGAAGAAGAGGAAGGACTTAAGGAAAATGTGGAAGCTGAAGAAGTGGAGAAAGAAGTTATACAGGAATAGAGAGTGTGCATGGTTGATGGGTCTAGCCTCCAGAGTAATTATAATATGGGATCCCTGACATCTTTACCTAAGGATTATCAACATACACCAACTGTGAATCGGCCAAGCAGAAATCCAGGGGAAGAAGATGGCAAGGGGGGACCAGATAATAGGTTTGTCAGGATCCGCAACATATTTACACTATGTGGAAACTACAGAGAGCTCTCTCAACATGTGACAACTCCAGCACCTACTGTTGCATCAGTTAAATAAGAAAATGAGCAGAAACTGACAGAAGAGTTGAACAAAAGTCGAGTATGTGATGAGATGGCATTGGCTTCCAAGGAGAACTACAACCCTTCACTGATGCAGATACTGAAGTGTATGTGAAATGGGAGGCTTCAAAAGAGAATCCGGGGAAGTTCATTACAACACTTACGGTTGTAAAAGATGCAGGCCTTGCTGACCCGCGAGAACACTGAAGGGAATGCAAAGCCCAAGTCAGCTCCCTTTAATTCCTCTCCCATTGAAATCTCTGGAAAATAGACTACCACTAATTAAAATAATTAAAAAAGACTAAGATTTTACTTAATAACATAAATTAAATTAAAGAAGATCGCCAAAAAACGAAAGTAAAGAAACTAATTTTATACTTTTAAATAATTAATTACTATTTATTAAGTAATTTATTAAATCAGTAAAATATTTAAATATTCACTAAAGAAACAATAATTAAAATGTAATAACTAATTAAAGTAATTAAAAAAGACTAACATTTTACTTAAT